CCCTCTCTCTCTCTCCCCTCCCTCTCTCTCTTCTCTCTCTCTCTCTCTCTCTCTCTCTCTCTCTCTCTCTCTCTGTGTGTGGTGTGTGTGTGTGTGTCTGTGGTGTGTCTCCTCTCTCTCTCTCTCCCTCTCTCCTCCTTCTCTCTCTCCCTCTCTCTCTCTCTCCTCTCTCATCTCTCTCTCTCTCTCTCTCTTCTCTCTCTCTCTCTCTCTCTCTCTCTCTCTCTCTCTCTCTCCTCTCTCTCTCTCTCCCTCCCTCTCTCTCTCTCCTCTCTCTCCTCTCTCTCTCTCTCTCTCTCTCTCTCTCCCCTCTCGCTTTGATGGGATTACGTATGGCTGTGACATCATTCTACCTACTTCTGACACTCTCGCGACAAATCTAGCGCCATTGGCATTCCTTCTGACACGACTATCACTATTATCACTATCACTTATCACTATCATCACTATCACTATTATCACTATCACTATCACTATTATCACTATCACTATTATCACACTATTATCACTATATTATCACTATCACTATCATTATTATCGCTATCACTATCACTATTCGCCCGGATCACCATCACCACTATCTGAACACCACATCCCTCACTGCTTCCCCAAAATGTCACAATATAGCAAACGCCAACAAATGTGTATGCGACACCGCATTATCTTCCCCCGGGACAAACACTCTCTCTCCTTGAAACAGCCAGGAACTAATAAGATGCAATGACATTTCAATGGCATATTGTTGCAACAGTATTAAGCATTGTGTAGTTTCTCTTCTCTTTCCGGGACAAATCTTGGCTCGGTTCAGTTCGGTTTATAACTCGCAGGTCTTATTGAAGAATCGTATTAGGTGCGGCTTGATATGCGCGCAATAAGAAAGAATAATAGCGTTTGTATCTGGGTTTGTGATTGGTGATTGTTTGTGCGTGTACAGATAAACAGATAGACAGGAATAAATGTGAGCCGACACACACATATATGTGTGTGTGTGTGTCTGTGTGTGTGTGTGTGTCTGTGCGTAGACACACGCACAAACACACACACACTCACACACATATATACATATTATATATATATATATATATATTATATATATATATATTAATATATATATATATATATATATGTGTGTGTGTGTGTGTGTGTGTGTGTGTGGTGTGTGTGTGTGTGTGTGTGTGTGTGTGTGTGTGTGTGTGTGTGTGTGTGTGTGTGTGTGTTGTGTGTGTGCATGTGTGTATGTGTATGTGTGTGTACGTTCCAGCACGGGAACAGAACCGCTGCGGCGCCAACAAAGAGCCACTTTGGGACACACACACACACGTACATACGTACACAGGCGCGACCCAGAGAACCAGTTTTATGGAATGACGAAGAGGAGGCAGTATGGACCGGGACAGAGAGTCATACTTCACCTATGACACCGAAGACGGGAGATCTATACACAGTGTGATTTATATTTATACAAATAGATGATGGATACCTAAGATATTGGATATTCAGTTGTTTCCACTTGCAGGACATGAGAGATACGTAAAATCTCTTGACGTTATCGATCATTATAATGATAATGATAAGAATCTTAACAATGATAATGATATTATGAAAACTACTACCATTCATAATGATAATAACAATAGTAATAATATGAAGTTACTGATAGTGTTGAGGACAAAGTTGATCAAATAGTAATAACAATGATAATGATAATAATAACGATAAAGATAGTAATAACAGCAAAAGATGGTAATGATAACAACAAGAGGAAAGAAAATAGGAGAAGTGATAGAATAATGATTTTGGGAAAAAAAAAAATAATCAATATCTCCTCCCAGGAACCAAGTCGTTTTCGCTCAAGAATTTCGGTGCAGGAAATGAGCTGTAGAGATGCTTGCGTGGAAGGGAAATAAGGAGACAGGCGCAGAGGGAAATAAACGAGGGAGGTGGGGAGAATGGAGAGACAGATGAACATCGACAGGCGAGTGGGTAGTGGAGCCCAGTTTGGCGATACAGATTGGTGACTGTATTGATGGTGCTGAGGGAAAGAGAAAGGGAGGAGAGGAAGAGAGGAGAAGGAAGAGAGAGAGAAGAAAGAAGAAGAGAGAAGAAGAGGGAGAGGGAAAGAGAGGTTGAGAAAAAGGAAGAGAACGATTGATAGATGAAGGAATAGGGAGAGGGAAGGAAGAGGAGTAAGAGAGAGAAAGAAAGAGGGGGAGAGAGAGAGAGACAGACGAAAATGAAAGAAAGAAGGAGGAGGAGGAAAAGAAATTGTATTCTTTTGTAATATTTTGATATATGAATGATACATCAGCTGATTTTGAACTAAGTGTGAGAAGGTTTATAAACAAACTGTACTTAATTCATTTTTTTCAAACACTTCGCCTTGCTCTGGAAGCGAAAATAAACAGTCAGACTTTCTCTAACATCTTTAAGTGGAGGCAGTTACCGCGTTAACACCCTTTAATTCCGTCCAACAAGGCCTAACACGCAGACTGACTTTGTAACATAAACACCCACGCATACAAAGTTACTTGAGTTGCCCCTCTTCAACCGTCTTGCGATTCCCATTTTCTTTTACTGCTATAATTTCCCGTGGTTCGTTTTCGTTGCCTCGTTGTTCCTCCAAGTTTATGTTGTTGTTTGTGTTGCTGATCTCTATTTTTCTGATTATGTGATCTCTCTCTCTCTCTCTCTCTCTCTCTCTCTTATCCATCTATCTTCTCTCTTGCTCTGACTGTCTCTCTCTCTCTGTCTCTCTCTCTCTATCTATCTATCTATCTATCTTCTCTGCCTCTTCTCTCTCTTGTCTTCTCTTCTGTCTCTCTCTCTCTCTCTCTCTCTCTCTCTCTCTCTCTCTCTCTCTCTCTCTCTCTCTCTCTCTCTCTCTCTCTCTCTCTCTCCTCCTCTCTCTCTCTCTCTCTCTCTCTTCCTCACACCTTCCTTCGACTATACCATCTAAAGAAAAGAAAAGAAAAGAAAAACTAAAAGAAGAAAAATATAAAAATCAAATGTTAAACTCGAGGCTCTTCCTTCGACGCGAGGAACAACCACGCCCAACAACTCGTTCTTTGGCGGCGGCGGTTGTCTTGAGGGCCTCGCGTGCCGGGGACGGAGGGGGCGCCTTCGGGTTTTTGTGTATGTATTTCTCTCTCTCTCTATCTCTCTCTTTCTGTCTGTTCTGTCTATCTGTCTGTCTATCTGTCTGTCTATCTAGCTATCTATCTTCTCTTCTCTTTCTCTTTCTCTCTTTCTTTCTTCTTTCTCTCTCTCCTTTCTCTTTCTTCTCTCTCTCTCTCTTCTCTCTCTCTTTCTCTCTTTCTCTTTCTCTCTCTCTCTCTCTCTCTCTCTCTCTCTCTCTCTCTCTCTCTCTCTCTCTCTCTCTCTCTCTCTCCTCTCTCTCTCTCTCTCTCTTCTCTCTCTCTCCTCCCTCTCTCTCCTCTCTCTCTTCCTCACACCTTCTCCGACTATACCATCTAAAGAAAAGAAAAGAAAAAAAAAAACTAAAAAAAGAAAAAAATATAAAAATCAAATGTTAAACTCGAGGCTCTTCCTTCGACGCGAGGAACAACCACGCCCAACAAACTCGTTCTTTGGCGGCGGCGGTTGTCTTGAGGGCCTCGCGTGCCGGGGACGGAGGGGGCCTTCGGGTTTTTGTATATGTATTTCTCTCTCTCTCTTTCTATCTATCTATCTGTCTATCTGGTCTGTCTATCTTCTCTTTCTCTTTCTTTCTTTCTCTCTCTCTTCTATCTGTTATCTATCTATCTCCTCTCTCTCTCTCTCTTCTCTCTCTCTCTCTCTCTCTCTCCTCTCTCTCTCTCTTCTCTCTCTCTTCTCTCTCTCTCTCTCTCTCTCTCTCTCTCTCTCCTCACACTTTCCTTCGACTATACCATCTAAAGAAAAGAAAAAAAAAAGAAAAAACTAAAAAAAGAAAAATATAAAAATCAAAATGTTAAAACTCGAGGCTCTTCCTTCGACGCCGAGGAACAACCACGCCAACAACTCGTTCTTTGGCGGCGGCGGTTGTCTTGAGGGCCTCGCGTGCCGGGGACGGAGGGGGCGCCTTCGGTTTTTGTGTATGTATTTCTCTCTCTTCTCTCTCTCTCTCTCTATCTGTCTGCTATCTAGCTATCTGTCTGTCTCTTCTATCTTTTCTCTTCTTCTTTCTCTTTCTTCTTCTTCTCTTTTCTCTCTCTCTCTCTTTCTCGCTCTTCTCTCTCTCTCTCTCTCTCCTCTCTCTTCTCTTCTCTCTTTTCTCTCTCTCTCTCTCTCTCTCTCTCTCTCTCTCTCTCTCTCTCTTCCCCGATTCTCCCATCTAAAGAAAAAGAAAAGAAAAGAAAAAAAAAACTAAAAAAAAAAGAAAAAAATATAAAAAAATCAAAATGTTAAAACTCAGAGGGCTCTTTCTTCGAGGCGAGGGAACAACCACGCCCCAAAACCCAACTCGTTTCTTTTGGCGGCGGCGGTTGTTCTTTTGGAGGCCTCCCCCGCGTTGGGGGCCGGGGGGGACGGAGGCGGCGCCCCTTTCGGGGGTTTTTTTTTTTTTTTGTGTTTTAAT